AAATCACACAGCGTCCATTCTGCATCCTTCTCTTTGTTCTGATCCTATAGGGACTGAACAGCCACTTGCTACAGCATGAATACATGGAAATTGCGTGTATGCACTCATCAAACCTTGACCAAAAATATTGCATGAATCATGTAAAATCTAGAGCAGATCCTGTGATGTGGTTGTGTCTTAGTAAGAAACTGAAATTTCATAGATTTGAATTCTACCTCTACAATTCTGTAAGCCATAGGATTTCGAACATTTTACATAAGGTCATCAAGCCTTATTTTCTGGATTTAGAATGTGTATCATTATAATTCCCTAAGTCATTGTGAGTCACAGATAATAGGCATAAGGGGACCCTGTCCTAGTCAGTCTCTTCATGGTGTAATGAGGTCACTGGTTGAGTAACAAACAATAAAACACTATTAGCAAGGCAGCATTGAGTCAGTTGGCTGGATTCAACCAGGGAGTCCTGGAAACAAGACGGGGCTCAGCCCGTTGTCCAAGAGCTGCAGATGGTGTGAGAAGTCTCAGGTGTCTAGGCAGGGACTTGACTACAGGGCATCAAGAAAAATTGTGAAAGATTTTGAAATGGTAACATGATATTTCTAGGCCTCATATGTAGCTCATCCATCAAGTTATCTCTGCCTTTCATTGAATTTGAGTGATTTAATGGTTCTATAAATTATAGGAAACATGACTCTTGTCTTGAAAATGTGTGTCTGGTAGAAGGCAGTTTATATATTCCTTTATATATATTCACTTCATATGAATGTGAATTCATTTCAAAACTGCCGATTTCTGATAGATATATGGTTCTTGTAATCTTACTTTGAATTTATTAGAACATCGTATTGGTTCCCTCACTGATTTTAGTTAAATAAAGTGTTTGATAAGAGGACTGGCATTGTGGTGCAGTGAATTAAGCCTCATTTGCAATGTTAGCATCCCATATCTGAGTGATGATTCAAGTCCTAGCTACTCTACTTGCAATCTAGCTTCCTGCTAACACACCAGGGGAAGGTAGCAGAAGATGGCCTAACTGCATGGGCCCTTGCCACCCATGTGGGAGACCAAGATGGAGTTTCTGGCTCTTGGTTTTGGCCAGGCCAAGACTTGGCTGTTGTCATCATTTGGGGAGTGAACCAGAAAATGTATAATCTCTCCTCTCTCCTCTTCCTCTCTCTCTCTGCCTTTGATATGAATCTAAATAGTGATTATTAAAAGCTGGTAGAGGGGGCGGCACTGTGGCACAGTGGGTTAAAGCCCTGGCCTGAAGCGCCAGCATCCCATAGGGGCACTTGTTCGAGTCCCCGATGCTACACTTCCTATCCAGCTCTCTGCTATGGCCTGGGAAAGCAGTAGAAGATGGCCCAAGTCCTTGGGCCTCTGCAACCATGTGGGAGGCCCGGAAGAAGCTCCTGGCTCCTGGCTTCGGATTGGTGCAGTTCCGGCCGTTGCAGCCAATTGGGGAGTGAACCAGCGGATGGAAGACCTCTCTCTCTCTCTCTGCCTCTCCTCTCTGTGTAACTCTGACTTTCAAATAAATAAATAAATCTTTAAAAAAAAAAGCTGATAGAGGAATGGAGAGGAAAAGTAATCATCATTACCAAAATACAGTTGGATTCTGATATCCCTTAGAACAATAGTGTAACTATAGTCTACAATAAAAAAATGGAAGGACCACTAGCCTGGTATTATTGGTTTATAATGCATGTATTTGTTGAAATATTGCATTATATTCCACAAAATATACAAGTATTTAATGCTAACCTAATATTCTTAAAAGAACTGAAATCAAAATCAAATAAAAATCAAAATAAAATAAAAATAAACATTATTTTAAAAATTTATCCTTTCGAAATGGGTTTTCTCAATTGCAAAGAAACTAATACTTCTCTATCTTACAGCTCATATTGCTCCTCCTCAGTGATTCCTTGAAATTTCAGTGTTTCTATAAACAACCAGGGCTAATCACAATGCAATAAGGTTAATTGTCAAGAAAAAGGCTGTATGATTCAGCAGATCTTTCATTATTATCACTGGTACTGGCATGAAGAGTCAGAGCACTGGAGGAAGGTGAGGCTCTGGACAGGGGCCACACTCCTAGTGAATTATGATGGAAGATGGACCAGACACACTAATGCTGATTGAGGAACAGCCAGAAAGGTTTGTAAAGCCTTTTAACTTCACTATTAAAAGTTCCAGCCATTAGAGTCTCCTTCCTGGAATCCTCCCCCCGCCCCACCACACTCAGGAGCAGTATGAATTGATATGGGCAGAAGGACTCCACAGTATGATGCACCATGGAGAAAAGAGCATAGGAAAGAAAGATGCCCATAGCAGAACTGAGGGAAAAGGGGTATCAAGCAGGGTTTGAAAGGTCTTTCCTACATAAGAAGTGTATATTAATGAGGAGATCTAAGGACAATTTTAATTTTTTATGATATACTGTTTTAAATTATCTATCAAGTGTCTTTCAAATAATGAAAGACTGATTGCAAAATTCAAGAAAGGAAAAATCTAAATTTACTGGCTAGTAGTATTTGTATAGTTCTATTCTCTTATATTACAGAATATAACTTAATAGACATCTTGTTCAAAATGAGATTGAATAGATTCCATATGAGAAGTTTTAGCTTTTTAAAAATATAAATCATTTGGGGCTGGTGCTGTGGCACAGCACGTTAACGCCCTGGCCTAAAGTGCCAGCATGCCATATGGGCGCCGGTTCGAGATCCTGCTGCTCCACTTCCGATCCAGTGCTCTGCTGTGGCCTGGAAAAGCAGTAGAGGATGGTCCAAGTCCTTTGGCCCTGTACCTGCATAGGAGACTCAGAAGACACTCCTGGCTCCTGGCTTCGGATCAGCACAGCTCTGGCCATTGTAGCTAATGGGGGAGTGAATTATCAGATGGGAGACATCTATCTCTCTCTCTCTGCCTCCCCTCTCTCTGTGTAACTCTGACTTTTAAATAAATAAATCTTTAAAAAATATATAAATCATTTGAGATAGTAGAATAAATTTAGTTTCATCATCCTTTTGTATAAATTTGACTTCTAGTAGACCTTGTAAAGTCTTAGATAATTGACATCACACTGTTTGGGAACACCAAGACATGCAAGAGGCTTTGAATGCTGACCAGTAGCACAGATCCAGGAAGCCAATTTGAGTAAAGATAGAGTGTTACCTTTTTGAAATTCAGCACATAACTTTGCTATGGGCAAGAGTGAAGGTGACATGAGAAGTGGTCTTGGGTCAGCCATATTTTTAAAAGTTCTGATATACTCTATTAAAAAAGAAAAGGAGTTTATTCTTAACAGTTGTCAGATTGTGCAATACTTTTGATTGAAGATTTTAGCACCCAGCAAAAAGTGTATTTTTCAGTGACCTGTAATTGATGAAATGTAATAATTTCCTTCTAAGGAAGTGAAGTTAGACCAGACTTTATGACCATTTTCCAACCCACATAAAATTGATTTTTTTAAATCATAATAACTTTTTATCTTTTACTTATTGGAGAGACAGATAAAGTGAGACAGACAGATATAGACAGAAAGAGCTCCCATTCACTGGTTCATTCCCCAAATTCCCACAATGGCCTGGACTCAGCTGAGCCCAGGAAAGAACTGGGAACTCAAGGTTTCCCACATGGTGGGCAGGAGAGTAATCAATCAAGCCATAACCTCTCCCTCCCAGGATCTGCATTAGCAGGAATATGGAGCCAAGAGCAAGTTGTATATTTAATCCACATTTTTTTGTGAGATGCAAGAAACCTTAACCAGCATTTCAACCAATAACTGTATAATCTTTGTAAAGGTAGCTCCATCTCTTATATCTGCAATGTAGGCAGTGACACATGAATTCTTTTCTAGCTAGAAATGGGAACTTCTTTCATCCTCACCTCTCCAAATTAATTACAGATAATAGCAAGCTGTTAATTTCCTAAAATATTTTTTTAAATATTTTATTTATTTTGAAAGTCAGAGTTACACAAAGAGAGAAGGAGAGGCAGAGAGATAGAGAAAGAGGTCTTCCATCTGATGGTTCACTCCCCGATTGGCCGCAATGGCCGGAGCTGCACCGATCTGAAGCCAGGAGACAGGAGCCTCCTCCGGGTCTCCCATGTGGGCACAAGGGCCCAGACTTGGGCCATCTTCCACTGCTTTCCCAGGCAATAGCAGAGAGTTGGATAGGAAGTGGAACAGCCAGGTCACGAACCAGCACCCATATGGGATGCTGGTGCTTCAGGCCAGGGTGTTAACCCACTGCGCCATAGCGCCGGCCCCTAAAATATTATTTATGCAGAAATGTTATAGAATACCCTTAAACTTTTCCAGTTGGCCAGAGACGTTAAGACCCTGGAAAAATCAAGCACTTTTTAAAATTCAAAACGAATTACCAACTTTGTGAGAAGAAAGAAACTTTAGATACCATTTTGTTCAATCGTTGTATTTTCATATGACAATAAGGCTCAGAAACACAACCAGAACACTAACTTTTTCTCTAGGTTTTTAAAGAAGCATGTCTTCAATCATACTATACTTCCCATGGAGTTATTGCATTGCAGCACTTTTATTATAATATGGCTAGATGAAATAATAGGGAGAGAATATCTTCCTAACCAGTACATCTGAGTAGGAGTGATCATTGAAGCTCAAGAAATAAAAGTTATTACTAAAGATGGAAATATCTCTAGAAGTGAAAGCTTTGGGCAAATCCTCTAGGGATATTTATATTAAGAGGCAGAAGAAGGAAAAGACAGTAAAAGGAGTCTAGAGTTTAGAAAGAGAACCAATGACTTAAGAAGGTGGAGTTTGGGTTGAAGGCAGGGACGGTGAGAAAAGCAAACATTGAAAAGTTTAGAAACAGAAAAAATAAAGAGGAAATGGAAGAGAAAGAAGACCTAGGAGGAGATGAAGTGGAAGTGCTAAGAAGAAAATGGTATAGGCAAACGGCTGGCTGAAGGCAGCGGCACAGCGCCTCCTGAAGATGTGGTGGCTTCATTTTTCAGGACTCAGGTGGCCACAGTGGTGGCTGTGGGCAGCAGGCTTGGAAGCCAGAGCTGGAATGGCTACAGGCAGCGGCAGCCTGGATGGATCTAAAATGTCCACAGAGAGACAAAGAGTTGATAACAGTCCAAGCACTGGTGGAGGAAGTTCTGATGGAGACGAACTTGAAAGTTTTCAGCAAGAACCAGAACGAGAGCAAGTTCAGTCCAAAACAAAGGGAAAAATATCCAGCAAGACAGCTGCTAAATTATCGACTGGTGCTAAAAGAATTCAGAAGGAGCTTGCAGAAATTACATTGGAGCCTCCTCCCAACTGTAGTGCTGGACCCAAAGGAGACAACATTTATGAATGGAGGTCAACTATATTGGGACCTCCAGGATCTGTCTTTGAAGGAGGGGGGTTCTTTTTTGACATAACCTTTTCACCAGACTATCTGTTTAAACTCCCTAAGGCTACATTCCGAACAAGAATCTATCACTGTAACATTAACAGCCAGGGCGTGATCTGCCTGGACATCCTGAAGGCCAATGGGAGTCCAGCCCTGACCATTTCTAAAGTCCTCCTCTCCATCTGCTTGCTACTCACTGACTGCAACCCTGCCGACCCTCTGGTGAGCAGCATTGACACACAACACATGACCCACAGAGCAAAGCACAACCGGATGGCCAGACAGGACCCCTCCAGACTGTGCAAGCCCATTCTCCAAGTGCATCAACAGCCCTGCCCGCCCCTCCAGACCTTGGTTCTTATTTTCTTGTTTTTATTAAATTTTAAACTGCTTTGTGACGGTATGTCATCCATTCCTCTTCCTCCTTCCCCTCCTCCCACTCTCTCCTTTTCTCTTTTTCTCTCTCTACTTATCTCTCTTTTCTTCTTGTTCTATTCCCTTTTTGATTTCTGTTAACTTGAAAAGTTTGGGATTATTTTTCCCACGACAACATGGATGAGAACTTCTGTTTTCAGTGCTAACAATGTTGGATCTGTAATAGTACGCACTTTCTCACCAAAAAAAAAAAAAAGATACAAAAAACTTGAATGTTTATATATGTGTGAAAAACAGGTTACAATTATAATGTTGTAAGACAGAAAAGATATTGCTGATACACAAGGTCCTGAAGGAGGAAAAATGAAAGGCAATTAACACCCTGCAGGAGGGATTGTTGTTTCTCCAAGACAGGAAAGACAGTGCTTGAAACACGGACCAGGAAGAGGCTCTCTCCTAAGAGCCTGGTTCTCAGAAAATTGCTTGGTAAGGACATTGGCTGAGTGAGGAGAGAGCAAAAGAGAGTGACAAGCAATTGAAATGATCATCACCAGGTTTTTGATGGTTATTTCTCCTGCTGGAGCAGACAGTCTAGAGTTGAGATGAGTAGTAAGTAGGTTTAAGGGAGGAGCAGGGAGAAGAACTGGAGACATGGATAGCTACACTAACTCATTCAACAATCTGAGAAACAGACTGCATCCCTAGCACATTATCCTCTGTTGTGTGGGAATCAGGTTGTCCAGAATGCGACTTTGACAAAATTCTGATTGTGGCAGGACTCTTACCACTGCTACCTTTATATACTTACACACTTGTGAGGAAGTATAGTGGAGGAAGTGAATTGAAGCAGAGAGAAATACCAGGAGATGCCTCCAATCTGTATCCCATGATTCCCCTATCGGGCCACTTTATCATCATGTACTATGGTTTTGATGTTGTTTTCCCTTCTGAAGTCATATGTGTTTGGGTCTGGATCCTCAGTCTGATGGTGCATGAGGGTTGGGGCCAAGAGGGAAGTCCTTAGGTCAACTGAGAGACTGCAAGTGGATGTGGAGCGTTCCAATCTCTCGCTGTTATTATTTCAAAAGTGACCTCTTGCTCCCACATGTGCTCCTGCCATTGCATCTGCCATGAGGTGACTCAGCAAAGGGCCTTTTCTAAGAACCTGGATTGTGCTAGTTGCAGTTTCAGTATCCAAAACTGTGCATGGAATAAACCTCTTTCCTTTATAAAGTAAGCCTATCTCTGGTATTTTATTATAGTAATAAAAACTGACCACGTCTTTGTAAAGCAAGCTCTTCACAATCAGGATGTATCTGGTAAAGTAAATGAAGATCAGAGTGGATACAAATTAGAAAATGATAAACCAGTAAATAATTTTTATTTAGATTTTTATAAACATCTATCAGAGAGCCAACCACCAAGTCTGTTGAAAATGTAGAACAGCTAGATCAAAAGTTAATTAAATCTTTAATCAAATCCTTAAAGCTCTAGAAAGATTTAGAAGGAAAAGAGCATGAGCTGCTTAAAAAAAAATCCTGAATTCTTAAAGAGCTTGTGTCAAGATAGTGTTTGAAGAGATTTGAGTTTCAAATGCAGTTTGTATGCCAACCGTGGTAAGTATATGTCCTGGGGCACCAGCAGCCTATAGTTATAACTCTGCAGAATACAACCTCACAGCTGGGGAACATCTATTTATGTCAACTGAAATGTTTTAGCCCTATCCAATTTTCGACCACTGGGAAAAAAAGTTGTGTAACTGAGGAGTTTTAACTTGTATCCTTGACAACAATAAATGTAAATTCTGACTTTCTTTTCAACTAAGAGAGAGACGCTTATGACATAATGAAGAGGATTTCAAAATGGGCTGGGCTCCGGCTGAAGCAGAAGTGGATCAATGTTTGAATTCGAGGGTCATATCTGAAGTCCCTGTCACTTAAAAAATGTTTTAAGAGAAGTGGAAATATGTTGTTAGGAATTCAGAAACATTGAGAACTTGGACCTTCAACAAAAAGGCACATGAAAAGTCTGTTATTTTTAGTTTCGTCTCTACACCTTAAGCTTCCTACTGATACAGTAATTTACATTGCCTCTGGAATGTTTCAGGTGTACACGTGTAAGCACTTGCATAGGAACACAATCTGGCCCCAGGCTACTTGCCTTCCCACTCTACTTCATATCCCTTTGCCCCATATTCTCTCTTCCTGCCTGATAAACTCATTACTCTTATAGAAGAAAAAGCTGGCTGCCAGCAGTTTATTCAGTGCTTCCACAGCACCGAGTGGTCTCTGAAAAAACTGATTGCCAAACCGAGATTTTCACTTCCCAGTTGTCTTTGCTTCTAGATAAACACCACCAATCATCACCTCTGGAGGGTGAGTGCTGTACATCACTCATTTGTGCTCAAGGAAATGCAATGGTTATGCTAGACAAGCAGGTACACTTTCTCCATCTTGTTTTCCTCATCCATCAGCTCTGACCCTCTAAATGACAATATTTCCTTTGGATTTAAGCAGCCCAGGTCCTGAATTAGAGGAAAGCAACCAGCCAATCAGAAGCATCCACATCGGCATTTTCATTATGAGAAATAAACTTCTGACTTACTTAGTCAACGAATCTTTGGGTTTTATTTGTTGCAACAGGTGGTTTTACCTTAACAATATACGAGTCACTCTCATCTCCTCTTCCTTCCGATAATGTGTTTCTTTTGCTTGGAAAGCTATTATCTTTTCCCTTATATGCCAGATAATGTTTAGAGATACAAAGGTGAGCAAAATAGCCTATTTTCACTGAACATGCAATATGCTGAACTACAATTTATCCTTCAAAGAAAAGTTTAATGTTACTGGCCTCTATAATTTTCTCTGATCTGACCCTGCTTCTACACTGCTTAAGCACAGTTAATTATTCCCCTATCTGTGGTCTAGTAGAAATCAGGACCATTTACAAGTTTTAAAATTCCAGCTGGCAGTCCTGGGAAAACGTCACAGAGAATTACATAAGTCTAGATAATGGGTCTGAAGTTATTTGCTTATACATTTCATGATCTGGATTGTTGTTTCCTACATGTCAGAGACAATGTCTGTTTGGTCTTTGTAAATGTAATGCCTGGCCCAATAGAGGATTAGAGTTTGTAGAACTGAACAGACCTGCTTTCCTTCCACTATACTTTTTCAAGATGGATTTTATAAACTATATTTAATTCTCCTTACTGGTCCTGAGGTACAAATTTTGGTATCACAAAGAGAATCAGGTTGAAGTTGTTCTACTTATAGTACCCATTATTGGAATGATGCTGAATATACAAATATCCAGTCTTTTTCCTTCTCCCAAAGCATAATGACATTTTTCAAAGGCTGATATTAGCCAGTAACTCTTTATCAGACCTTAAGAACTGGAGCATTCACTCTTTTTATGATTATTTCTGATTCGAGCAGATTTTCTCACAGTTACCATTCACAGATAACCACTTATTAAGTCATACCTACAAGAAATATGATCAGATAAAACTTTTGTTCCAAAACAAAATTGTGCATTATCTAAAGGTACAATCAGGTTCCAAGCTCTCATAATCCCCTGGAGAGAGATGTAAGCTCGACCAAATGCTCAGCAATAGGGCTAATGAAAACATAGGAATAATTTGAAATTAGAGCTCCCAGGTTTAGGAAATGAACCCAGTAGTTCTGGACTGGGTTGGACTCAGAATCACTGCCACTGGATTGGTTCCAAGACAATAACAATCTCCAAGTACCTGGTCTGACTATTGGGACAGAGTAGTTGGAACATCTGTGTAATGATGATACTTGTAAGTAGATGTTGGCACCTCATGGTCCTTGGAGCACCTAACCACGAGTGTCAGTGGAATGGAATGGAATGTCCAGGAGAACTAGAATCCAATCAAGAGCCGGGGGCAATATTGAAGGGCATGTGCCCTTCTCATTCCTCACTCCCTGTCACTGTCTCTCAGTTCCCGCCCATATGATCGCAGGATAGCAGGACAAGCTTCGGCTTAATTCCCTGCTATGCAATTTTGTCCGGTTATAACATGGAGAACATTTCCTATTTTCTTGTCTTTTTGTTTAAAGAGAAAAATATTTAGTTTGATCAATGTTGTCTATATTTTCATAGTTGTTTTAAATCTGTTGTGCAATGATTGAAATATTTTCTTTCTTTCTTCTTCTTTGTTCTGCCCTTGGTGTTGCAGCTTTACTACGTTTTTGTTTCCTATCACTATGATCTAGCAAAAAAGAAAGAAAAAGACAGAAAAAAGTTAACCATTTCTAGCTACACTTCATCTCATCTCATAAGGGAAAACACTGATTTTGGAAAATTCTCTTAATTTAAAAGGTTCCTAATGAGAAAACAGATTATTAAAGTTGCCAGGGGAACTGAGTATAGAAAGAAGAGGAGATGAAAAGGGTGTCAGCAAACAAGAAAAGGAAAAATGAAGCTCCATCTAATGTGGGCATAGGATGTACTGAATACTTTGTATTTCTGTTTATTCATTCATTCACTCATTCCATAAACATTGCTAAGTCCCAGCTGTCAGACACTGAGATCACCCATGCAGATACATTATCCTTTTTCTCACAATCCACTTTGACCTTTAAAGTCTTTAGAAAAGACAATACCATTTCTTTAAGGAGAAAAAAATGAAAAGTAAATCTGGTTTCAAACAATCTTCAAATATGCCCGTTCCCTCAGCAACCTCCTGAGGTAGAATGGCCTCCTAAACTCAGATCACATTAGTCTCCACAAACCCTCACATACACACAAAAACACACCGGCCACACCCCACGCTTCCCTTAAAGCATTTTAGTGGAGCATAGGCAACAGGAAGCCATGGAAGCATTTTAATCAGGAAAATAGCAGTCACGTTTACTACTTTTTGTCCTTAAAATAAAGAGAGATTTCTGCTAGTATTTCCAGCCTCACTTATTTATCATTCTCTTTCCATTACATGTGAATAATTCTGTACACTCCCCCAAATTTCCTCTGTTCCCTCTTTGCTGTAGGACTTTGCAT